TCAAGCTTTAAATTGGTTGAAGTGCTTCATATCTTTTGTGCAATTTCCTCCCCTTCGCGCAATTTGATATACTCTCTCTCTCGTCCCAGGTTCCCAACTTCTTATGAACTCCCTTATGCAATCTGTTTAGCATTCTTTACTCAAGCTTTTCTCTGTACTTTGCGTGCAGATATTTCTGGCTATGCTCTTCCGGTTTTGACTTACGCCATTGTTGTGTGCACGCTTTCATCTTCTATCACTGCCTCTACTTCATGATTCCTCCACCAGGTCTTCTTATCTTTTCCTGATTTCCTAGCTCTGTACAACCTAGGACATTTCTCATTGTCGTGGACACTGGTTTTCAGGGCTGACCAAGATTGCTCTGGCCTTTCTTGCAACTATGGTAGAGTTGTCACCAGTGCCATAACGTTATCTTTTAATTCCCACCAATTGATGTGCTGTGTGTTTGTACCGATTATCTCCCTTCGACTATCAAGTGGCACTTTGACGTTGAGAAATAGAGGCTTGTGCTGAGGTATACAACTTTCAGCTGGAATAACTTTGCAGTCACATTCTTGAGCTCGCTTTGCCTCCTAGAAGTTTATTCGTGTTCCTCGGTCCCCACTTTACGTTATAAGATGATCTTTATGCAGTAGTAAATGTTCGCCAACGCCAGGTCGTAAGCTGTAGTGAACCCGAGATTACTTTCGCCCTCTTCATTGCATGTTCCCTATCCGTGGTACCCGTGATTCCTGCACCATTTCTCTTTTTTACAACATGTCCTTTGAGGTCTCCTCCTAGCAGGAGTATCTCGTTTTGTGGTGTCATTCCTATGAGCAGAACGAGTATGATGTTTGTTAATTTCTTTGCCCTATGAAGCAAAAAAGTATCAGGTGTCGCTAATGCTAGTTTTGTAAATTTCATTCCATTTCTTAGCTCATTAATATAAGCAAAATTAGATGATTTCAAATTATGGGGGTAGTTTTTTAGAGCAGAACAAAGGTTTTCAAAATGATATTTTTGAATGAAATAAAGATTGATGAATCATCGCTTCAACACAAACTGTTCAATTACAGTGATTATAGTAGAATAGCCGCTGAATTTAGATAATAGGTCGTAGACGAGCCGAAGCAGAACGCCGAAGACATGGACGTTATTAGCCTGAATGCTTAATTTTGGTGAACAATCGTAGAATAGAATCGGAGAATCGTACAAATTGAAGAATTACCTATATGAAAGAAGGTGCCGCCAAAAACGTTGTTCAGAGCGACTAAAGGTGACCCTGCAACAACATGAAATCCACGAACGATACAGCAATGAGGAGGATGCCATGTCCATCATCTTATTTTCTTTTTTATGAGTTAACACTCATTCTTTGACCTCATAATTTTGACGGGGCAACCTCTTTTTCTCTTTATTTAGTCTCCTATTCTTTGGCTCTTCCTTCCTATCTCCTTAGATCTTTTTGGATACGCGTCTTGACGCAAAAAGAGAAATTTACAGTTTTTTTTCTGCTATTTTTCAATTTTACAATATTAATCAATTAAGCGGTGCTCTGCGACAAACGCCTCAAAATATTCTTTCTTCAGTCACCGTTATCTTTGCCGGCTTGAATATCACATGCATACTTCTGTAAACTACCTGACTTTGTGTTTTACCACTATTGTCAAAGCATTCTTATCTTTAAACATATTCTAGATGGTTGACTCTCTGGTGACGCCGCCATCATCATCGACAGTTGGAATAAATCAGATGATGGGTGCAACACAATCAAACGAAA